CATTTTGGGCCGAACTTTTATTGGATCCTGAAGCTTCTTCAGTCGGGCCCTATTGGCCTGTTCTCTGCTGGCGCTCCGAATTTTGGGCCTCGAACTCTAATCGATCGATGGACTTCTTTTTTGATCGATTGAAGGACCTCTTTCCAGCCAATCGTTTACGATTCTGTTAGCTGCTGCAGTCGTTCCTCTTTCCAGCCAATCGTTTACGATTCTGTTGCTTGGCGGCTCGACGAATCACTTCAGGCAGCCGCACGGATCCACGGCAGCCGGCAAACCCCATATCATTTGCCACGCAGCGGCTTTGCCCTAGGTAGCCAACGCCACAAGGTTGAAGGCTTGAAGCAGTAGGTGGCCGAGCAGGCGAGCACCAAGGCATCGATCAATTTACCACTTCATCAGGTACGCTTAAGCCAAAAGCATAGATTGAATAATTTTCTAGTGCTTCATGACCCCAATCAGGGCATCACAGATCAGCTTAATTTAGGTTGTTTTTTCTACTGAATAATTATATCAATGTGTCTATATATTTATCTTGGTAAACACTGTATATTAAATAATTACATTTTCTTATTTCTTAATCTCGGCAAACACTATATTGAATAATTTTATATTAATATTGTTAGTTTCATATTTTTGCACATATGCATCAGTCTAGTACTATATTCACTACTTTTGTCGCGTTGATATTTCATATATTTTGCACTACTGTACGAGATAACTCATATTCAAATTTATATGATTAACTGAATATATACTTTAAAATTTAGGGCCCCATTTTATATATCGCACCGGGCCCCCGAATTTCTGGAGACGGCCCTGTTTAGCTCATGAACATTTTGAATTTTTACCAACATTTTCTCAGATCCATGTATTATATTTTTAATGTAGTGAATGTTTTTTCATGAAACGTGAAAAAATTGGAACATCAATTCCCCTGTTCTTCTTAGTACAAATTTTGTTAATCAATTGCGTAGAAAACAAACCTTCAAAGAGAAAAACTTGGTAGTACGCACTCAGGAGTCCAGGCTCAGCCTGTTGCACTTGCACGCTCCGAGCGCCCTTGCCCCTGTGTGCTTATACGGCCGCCGGTGACACTGTGTGCCGCTCCACTGAGCTCTCCGCGCTAGCTGGTTACAGGATCGGGAACGACAGCAGTCTTCGGAGTAGACGCCATGAAGGCGTCGTGCATTGGCCGGACTCGACCGCGCCCAGGAGATCAGCGTTGATACGCATCTGAAGATAGCTATCCCAATCTTCCTTCGTTAGGATTCTTATTTGACATGTTATCTGTTCGGTTTAAATAGCAGAAAACTATGCCGACCCCAAGATCTATTAGAGATCTTATTTGGCATGTATATATATCTGCCTTGTATAGACGCAGGGAATCTCTCATTGTCGCCGTTCTTCCATCGGAGTGCAAATCTAAGAGACGACAAGAATGTCAGAGCTTCGTGATCTTCCCGCTGACCTTGCAGCGGGGTCTGACAAAAGGTCATATGTGATCAAGGTAGACGGCTATTCAAGAGTCAAGGGGATGATCGGGCATGGCGACAAAGTGAAATCTGCCCCTTTCAGTGTTGGAGGCTACGACTGGGTTTTGTGGTTCTACCCAAACGGCAGCGACATCACACATTATGAAGCCGGTTATGTATCTGTTTTTCTGGCTCTTGATTCTGGTTTTGCCACGGACGTGAGGGCGAAATTTAGAATTAGTTTGCTTGACAAGAATGGAGAACCAGACATTACAAGAAGCAAGACCAATCCCGAATGCATCTTCTCTAGCAAAGGTTCATTCAAGGGTTTCCGTGATTTTATCGGCAGAGCTTATCTTGAGAATCCAAGGAATCTAAGCAACGACAGTGTCAGCATCATGTGCCATGTTACTGTCGTGAAGAATATCCACAAAGGTAATCGGTCTGGCTTGATTCCTCCAAGAAACTTGCAGCAACATCTTGGAGACCTACTGAAGAGCATGGATGGAGCCGACGTGACCTTTCATGTCGGCGGGGAGAGTTTCTTGGCTCATAGGGCCGTGCTCGCCGCTCGGTCATCCGTATTCAGAGCGGAGCTCTTTGGCGGCATGAAGGAGAAAGCTGGCGGTCCGATTGAAATTAGTGACATGGAAAGTGACGTGTTCAAAGCCTTGCTCCACTTCATATACACAGACGAGTATGAGCCTGTTCCTGAGATGACCGATGGATGTGAAGCACGGAGAGAAGCGGTGATGGCTGGCCATCTACTTGTTGCAGCAGACAGGTACAATATCGAGGGGCTGAAGCTGATATGCGAAGAGAGGGTGTGCAACCTCATCAACCCTGACATCGTGGCGACTAGTTTGGCTCTAGCTGAGCAGCACGGCTTCCATGGAATCAAGGATGCCTGCTTTGAGTTCCTCGCTTCGCCTTCCAATTTGGAGGCGATGATGAGCATCTCAAGAATAGCTGCCCATCAGTTCTCAAGGAGCTGGCTGCTAGCTTCCTGCCCGCCGAACTGAAAGCGGCCAAAGATATTATCATGACAATTTAGTATTGTGGCTAGTCATCGTTGCATCTAATCTAATTTAGTATCTATGGTCTTACCTATTTCTCTATGTTGATTGCATGTACTATCTAGATCCAATTTAGCAATCAGAATGCGAATTGATTGGTGATTCCTGTGTCTTGTATTTGCTGGCATGCATGACTAGTGTCGAACTGAATTTCTTGTGCTTGCTGCAGTTTTCTTTATGGTTTGTAAGGACTTCTAAGTTTCTGCAGTTTCTGTTTTTCCCATGCATGGTTAATGTGGAATTGGCAAGGCTTTTTTATAGACTGAAATTTTCATCGTCTACCTTGCTTATAACAAAGATATCTTCTTAGTGATTCCAAGAATATTTTTTTTGCCATTATTACTTTGCAATACGCGAAAAAACCTTGAATATTATTTCCCAATCAATCCCGAGGCTTCAGTTTGTTTGTCAATACAGGAACATGCATACTTCTTGCACCTGCAGCCTGAATTTCTATTTCCGTGATCACTCGTCGCTGACTTTACGGCGTCCAAACTCATGTAATCGTCGGTAACGAAAAGCATGCAAGAGTCACAACAGATAAACCATACCTGATCTCATGTTCGTTTTGCGTTCTGCCATTCCTGCTATATACTCCCTTCGTCCCAAAATAAATAACTCAAGTTTATACTAGCTCTAGTATAAAGTTAGTATAAACTTGAGTCACTTATTTTAAAATGGAGGGAGTATATCACTATCGGAATTAAAAATTATGCCGACGGCACGCAGCCGTAGGCATAGGCCCGAAAGCCGGCATACGGCCGTCTTCAACGTTTTTGTCGGCATAGATCTGTCAGTCTGTCGGTATATAAAAGTGATTTAGACGTTTCAAAAAAAAAGTGATTTAGACCAAAAGATAGGGTGCGTAGAAAACCAGCACCCGCCAGATAGTATTCTCCGCTGATTTAAGCACATTGTCACACAGCTCAGACACAAAGCTATGCATGGAGGTTCTAGCAATTTTAGTAGCCTAGTTGCTCACCGTTTTCTAAGCATGCAGCAGCTTATACCTGATTGCTCGACCATGTTGGAAACTTGGAACACAAGTGCTTCAAAGGAAATATAAGGTGTACATCTATGTTATTTGGATTTATTTTGATCATGTGTTTGTTGTTTTGTTCAAAGTACATCGATTACGTGATACAAAATTCACGTGATACAAAAGTCATATTGTTGGACTCAAATTTAAAACATTTCTTAGTGGTATTGATTGTGTATCAGTAACACACATGGAGCTTTATTTTTTCACCACATCATTACCTCACTCTTCAAAAATATCGATAAAATAGAAAACTCACGGATGAGCATGGTCAATTTGTTGTGATCAATCACCTCACTATTGGGATCAAAACGGAGCAGAAGCGCAAGAAACCAAGTGTCCCACTTACCGGTTTTGCCTCTGTTTTTTAATTTGTGTAATTTGTCAAATAAAATGAAGAAAAGCTGTTGTATTTGTGCTCTATTTCATCTTTACCGGGACAAATTTACAGTTCTCTGCGCATTTTAATCTGTAGTGTTCAATTATTATTGGTCAGTATTGAATCACCAGATTGTTTACATAGTTTAGTTTACTCAATGATCCATATTATTTAAATTCTCACTACTAGGAAAAGGTCTACTAGTGGCGCACCAGTTTTGCCTACTAATGGCGCACTACTGGTGCGCCACTAGTATTTTTTACTAATGGCGCACCACGCCGTGCGCCATTAGTATAGACCATCATACGCCATTAGTATCTGTCATACTAATGGTGCATTGTGGGGTGATGCACCATTAGTATGAATATTAGGTTTTTTTACTTTTCTGAATTTTGCACAGGTTACAAAATATATTATTGGACAGAATATAGACAGCACCCCACGGCAAGAGCAGATTCATCGAATACAATAGAAGATTAGTCTCCGAATACAATTCATCATATTAGGGCCTGTTCGGTAGTTGGCCAACTTCCAAATTCGCTAAATCCATGCTGGAGCTGGGGCGAACGGTCCTGCTTCAGGAAGCCAGCTTCGTGGATCTAGGAAGGGTCTACGTACAAAAAATGGGAGCAGCTATTCTGGCGATCCTAGGAAAAGCGGAAGCGGGAGTTTGCCTAAATTACGGAGCAATGCCACCGCCAAGTGAGTTGAGGATCACGTACCGGTTCGCTACCTTCTCTCTCTCCTCTCCAGGCACGTTATTTCCTCCAGAGCCTCCTTAACTGGGCCAAGCCCAACCACTCTCCTCCTATGTCCGACTGGGCCTAAAGCCACCTTACCTGTTGGCCTGCTGACGAGTACGAGAAGCTGGAGTGAACCAGCCGAACAGTTTTTAACCGATCGCAATTCGTGAAAGAAGCTGGCATTGGGAAACAGAAGCGAGATTTGTGGATTCAGTGAAGCTAGAGGACTACCGAACAGGCCCTTAGTCTCCGAATTCAAAAGACCGAACAAAGATAGAACATTACAAGTCTCGAAATCGCGAGTAGCGAGTTTGTCGGAAGTAATACTAATCCTAACAAGTCCTACTAATCATCATCATACAACTTCTACTCATTATTAATAACAAGTCATACGATCATCATCTTGATAGTCATCGAACCAACCCTACTTAATTGTTCTTAGCACATGATCATCAGTATTAGGCAGGATCTAAATACCCTATTTAAGGTAAAATAGCATAAAACAATATAGACCCTGACTCTCCATTATGGAGAATGGAGAACATCTTGTCTCCAATTCTTGCGCTTCACTTCCTTTTGCTTCCAAGAACCTCCTTATGACTGTCCATACATTTTTTCCATCCTTTGATTTTCATGTCTCCACTTCTTTTAGAAATCTCGTATGGACAGTTGAGATTCGTAGGATGACCTGGCTATATGTTCAAAACATTAAGACTACCTTTCTGATACATCAAATGAGGCACACAATTCTCTGATATTATATGTTGAAAAACATAGTAATAACTTCATAGTTAACAATGATGTACTAGTTTTAGAAGTATGCAAAAGATGCACGGATGTCGCAATAGTAAAAATCTTACCAGGATATCTCCATGATAGTTACCGTAGTTGAACACATGCACTAGTGGCACGTATTTACCATAATGTTGAGGAGCAGTACAAAATCCGACCAGATGATTTTTCTCCTTGTAAGTTGTTAATTCGGAGCCATCGGTGTAGTGGGTTTTGTCTACCATCTCCCGCACAACAATAAAAATAAGCTGTCAACTATTTTGAAATAAACAATATAAATTAGCTAATAACTATGTTTGAAAAACTCACATAGCGGTAGAACTGGAGGCGTATCAACAAGGACCCAAATGTCCATATTGTCTTGGTCGATGTCAGGATTACCAAGATCCATGCCGATAAGCATACCCTCATCAAAACCATGCATCTTGCAAAATACTTCCCAATTTTTTCAACCAAAATGGGTTACGCTCTCAGAATTATACAGATTTACTTCAAAGTCCACATCGTGATGAGTCCTTAGGTGAATTTTCTTTGTTTCAGAAATTTCATGGTCTTCAAAATCCATCCTCTCCAAGACATAGCGTCTTGCATGGCATGGGATAAGCTATACTTGAATTGTAAAAGATGAAAATTACACATTGAAATAGTTGAAGTCATGCTTAATTATGAAAAAAACAATTGTCGTCGTTGTGTACCGTTTCAACTTCGAAGGTCTCCTCGAGCTTAATGCTGAAGCGCCGATCATCGTCCAGGTGAGGCCTGTCGCACAGACCTCAATCGTCATGGCACCAGCCGCACTCCCCCGGGAGACTTTCGTCGTCCGATGACGACATTTCCTACGTTCATAATTCAAAACTACATCATCTCTTGACATTAGTAATAACTATGAGTTGATATCACACTTCTATATGTATAACACAAGAGGCAGTTGATCCTACTTAATTAAGTACTAAGATATCCAGGCTCATGCATTAGTCGCAAGTACCCCATACGTCCTATTTTTAGCAAAGTCATGCTAAAATTCACGGAAAATTTCAGCATGAACTTTGCTGAAAATAGGACATATGGAGTACCCGAATTTGCCGGAACGGAAGTTAATCGACATTCCAGCAAACTCAAGGGCCTCTCGGGGTACCTGCAAAATCATTATCCCACCCCCGCCCCGCTGCAACCCCACAACACCCCACAATATCATCATGACACGATGGTCAGAGACAAAACCCCCCAATCTCATCACGACACAATGGTCCGAGACAAAACACAGCAATATATCTTCTAGCCATGAAACCCTACCCTAATTCTCCTTTCTTCCTCTTTTTTCACTTAAACCTGCAAACATGTAGGGAAAGCAATTAATACAAGGCACAAAAATGGCATGATATGTAGCCTTAATGCTACAGAACATATGAAATACATGCCAGCAATATATATGATATAAACTCCAATAAATTTTTTAATAAAAATAGTAGCTAAAAAAAGTAGCAAGCAAGCAATTCATTTGACTAACTATTTAAGTGTTCTGGACTCCAACAACCACTTTGCAGACAAGCAGGAAAGTGGTTCTTCCTTGAGGGATGTGTGATCTATGATGGTGCTGTCTTTTTGCTTAGTTGGCTTTGCTTAATCCTATGAGGAGCACTGGATTGAAGCAATGGCTTAGAACATGTCAACTGCCTGTGCAGGCATAAAGCATGTTGTTGGGATGGAGGTGGTTGAATCCACTTGTTGTCTGGCTAAGAGGTTGAAGTTGGTACTGATTAGTGCTGAAGTTGTCACTCTTTAAATTCAGAAAAGAAAAGGCACCACATAATATTGATGGACATGGGAAAGCTTTGCAATTGCACCCACAAGTGCCAAGCACCAACTTAATAGCCACTCCTAATAAATCCTTCCCATGACAGTACGACGCTCACTCTCGGTTCGACACATAATATTATTCTCCTGCATTAGCTAAAATGGCTAAAACCGAATGCGATAATCCTAGTGTTCTCTT